GGAGCCCCAAGAGAGCCTAAGGCTTGAGCTCCCCATGTCTGGCAAACTCCCTCCTTTGGGACCACTCAGGACCTGAGAGTGCTGGATTAGGGAGGGCCAACCTGTAGTGAAAAAAATACATAATTTACTACATTAAAGGCTTACCAAACCCAACTCAGAAATATTTTTCTGCACAGAACTAATCAGTTTATTGATTTTCTTTCTGATATACAGCTACAACACAAACCCATACATAATTTTTATAAGACATGATGTCAGCACCAGCCTCTGTAGAGAATTTAAATAAACAGTGAACTTAACCTCAAACTAAGGCTGAGTCTACACTGGAAGTTTAGGTTGAACTTAGCCACATTAGGTAGATTTTCTAAACATCCATCAAGCCCATTCCATCACCACCAAGTCTATCCACAACAACAAGCCCATTCAGTTGACTTTAAGAACCAATGATTTTCACAAGGAGTAATGCTAAATTTGACGTTGCATGGTTAACTTTAGGGTAGTACAGACACAACACTGTGAAAGTCAACACTTCTGGCCTCTGGGAGGTGTCCCATCATGCCTCATTGTTCTTTCAACTCTGATGCTCTCTGGCTACCCAGGAAAAGCCCCAGCAAAATATGAATTTCCTATGTGGCCAGCGTGGCAAGCAGACCTCAAAGCAGGCAGCACACCTCAGCAGCACACCTGAACACAAATGCCCAGGATTGCAAACAAACACCATCATGCAGGATATCCTGGAACTCACTGCTGTGCAGGGAGAGGAATCTTTCCTTACTGAACTATGAACCAGTGTGGCGGGATAGCCCCACCACCCCCGGAAACCGCCGCGGTCCGGTGGCAACCCGGGGGCAGAGCCAGGGCCGTACCAGGACAGGAAGCCCCGGCCGAGTCAGGACGGGCGATAGCGGGACCTGGACGCAAGGACGCTGGGGAGGGCGGGCGCCCGCTCGGGACTGTGCCGGGGGTGACGTCATCGGCGCGCCCCGGGTGCAGGACGCAGGCTGATGACGTAGGGCGGACCGTCATCTCCCCGCACCCAGCGGGGGATTTAAAAATGGATTCCGGGCCAGGGGAAGGGGAAGGCCTGAGGAGGAAAGGACGATAGCGGGACCTGGACGCAAGGACGCTGGGGAGGGCGGGCGCCCGCTCGGGACTGTGCCGGGGGTGACGTCATCGGCGCGCCCCGGGTGCAGGACGCAGGCTGATGACGTAGGGCGGACCGTCATCTCCCCGCACCCAGCGGGGGATTTAAAAATGGATTCCGGGCCAGGGGAAGGGGAAGGCCTGAGGAGGAAAGGAGTGGCTCCGGCGGAGACGGAGAGGACTGGGTACTGGCGGCCCTGAGTGCAGTTTAACCCAGGGGGCCAGGGCTAGAGGTAGACTCTGGCTGGGGGAAAGAAGCGGCCCAGGGCGGGGCCGAGGAACCCGTAAGCGGGGGAGTTTAGGTTTCCCAGACCCCCCACCCCCCCCCCCCCCCGCGCCCCCCAACGAGACCAGGCACAATCAGCATTATATTGGGACAAGAGGGGCGACCAGGGAGGAGGATTGTCAAGGGGAGGGGGTCCCCCCCCCTCTTTCCGCTGGGGCGTCCTACAACCAGTAAAAGAAACTTAGATATGTATGCCAAGATTGCAAAGGGCATGGAGGAGAAAGGATTAGAGAGGTTAAAATGTGTTTACTTCAATAAATGTGTAACTGCTGAAACTTTTAGCAATGGAGGGGTGGGGGGGAGTCGGATCCCCAAGAGCTGGTATACGCAGGAGCCAGCTTTTAAGCTGGTTCCTCATGCGCACCAGCTCCTACCTGCTCCCTGTGCTGCTGTCTCTGACACAAAGGCAGCAGTGTGGGAAAGCACCTCCGTGGGAGCCAGTACGTGCAGGGAGCCAACTTATGAGCTGGCTCCCCATCCATACCAGATCTATCGGAGAGAATCCCGAGGATAGAAAAACAGTGTTAAGAACCTGTGGTTGAAGTTCCCATTAGTGATCTATTGTGAAATGGTGACTGAGGGTATCTGTTGTTGTGTTCTTGACTTCAGGCAGATAGGACACTACTAGACTGCTGTTGTTGTGGATGCACTATTTGCATAGACAAATAGCCTCCACACAAAGGGTGCAGGAGCGAGCGCCCCCTTGATGATTGATATAGAACATAATGGTAACATTGTTGGTAAGGATATGGGGGGGGGAAATATGTATGAAGATCATGTACTCATGTTCTACACATTTGAGAGAATGTCTATGAGAGAGTGCATCTGTTCAAGAACTCTTCCTAAATGGTGAGAGGTAGCATCCCCAAATTTGGTATACAGCTTCCTTTTAATGTAAAGCAAGGTAAGGGTTTATTGTGCCAGGAAAATGGGATGTGCCCAGAATGGGATTGCTTCAAACCTAAGAGTAAGTGGGGTATCTTAGTGGGAGGCTTATGTCGGTGGTGCAAGGGATTGGATCAGCAGCACATACTACAGCAAGGATTCTAGGCCCACAGGAAAGTGTGGAAAATTACATGCCTAAAAGATGCTGTGGACTGATTGTCATCTCTCAGATAGTTCCTCAGGGCTGTGTAAGTTACATCAGGGGCTATACGGGATCCTACAGGAGTCGAGAATTAGAAGGGCAGAAAGGTGACGTAAGCCATTTTTGTTCCTATTCCTTGGATTTCACCTTCAGAACTTTATTTTGAAATGAAAAATAGCCAACAATGATGGGACGTCACAAATACAGGGCCTAATTCTTCACTGTCTTTCATCTTGTGTAGTCACTTACTCTTTAGTAAAGTGAGAGCAAAATGCTATCAGGTCTGACTGATTGCTTTTTGCCCTCTCTTTGCACAGACATAAGTGGTGACACAAAGTGCACTGAAATTAAGTATCTGGCACAGCCTGTTTATCCAAGACAGCAAGTATATAGCTGAAAAAAATGATGTAACAGTGTTTGTAAATTTTGGAGGAAGCATTTCATACAGTAGCAGGATCCAATTTTTTCAGCTTGAAGGCAAAGGATACTATTTCAAGAAGGTCAAGGGGCCACAGTCAGCGCTTTTGTGCAAATTCTTTGTCTTGTTCCTCTTCCTTTGCACCATTCATGTCACATAAAGAGAGTAGAACCAACACCAAGTCCCCACCTGGGAGTTAACCAAGCATGAGTGAGAACTCTCCTCCCCCCATAAATACAGAGCTCTTATAGCTAGCCCCTATGCCTCCCTTTCTGCAGTACATGACAAAAGTAGGGAGGAGCAGTAGTGGAAATGGACTGCATTTCAACTATCCCAACCTGGTGAAAAGTCCTTTGGGGACCATGGACAGCTGATGGGATGGGGAAAAGAATAAAGGAACAGTAGGCTGTCAGCTTCATCTCCTGCTTCCCTTGCTTGAGCTTCCCAGCGAGCTGCTTGCATGAAGGGAACTGTTCTTTCCTTGACACTCACATAGGCTCAGGCAGTCAGCAAAGCACTTATCCTTGCTGACAGAGGATTTTACAACTTAGCAGGCAAAGGAGGAACTAATGCTACTCCGGCCTCCCTCTACTGTGATGGAGAAGGACAGCTAGTGAGCAATGGGAACAAGGGAAGAGACAATATTAGCCACTGCCCATAGTGCTTACGAACAGCACGGTCGCAATGTAACTCAGTGGGGTCCACCTTACAAACATTTCAAGTTACAGCCAAGAGTTTGGTCTGTAACTCTTTTGTAACTCGGGGACTGGCTGTACTTCAGTTTAGAAATTGAAGGGCATAGTGCAGAGAACACACTTTCATACAAATTTTCTTCCTAACAGAATTGCTCTCAAGGGCTGCAGTTGAAGCCTCAAATGGTCTTTGAACTACAGATTGGAGATCACTAGGGTGTGCATACTCAGAGCACAAGATAAAACTCTGAGAAAAGTGTTAGTAGTTTATACAGGAAGAGTAAAATATAAATGATATTTTACAAAAGTTGCTCAGAATATGAAGCAACTGCAGAAATTTCCTTTCTTGGGCATAGCTGTCCTCTATATTCCAAACTGATGAACTCTGAGTAAAACCAACTAAATAATAGCTCAAGGTATAAGTAATGACACAAAGTGTCATTTAAGCTCATCCAAGTGGCTGTAGAAAGTTGGAGAAATGGAACAAACAATAATAAGCTCTAAAGAAAAAATAAATAAAATAAAAGCAATGAACTTTTAACTACTCAGTAGATGAAACCATCATAGGAGCTGCTTTAGAAAATCATTCTTAAAACAAGAACTGATTCAACTGTTTTTCACTTTACTACACAAAATACAAACAGTATTGAGGTAAAGTCATTAATGGCCATGCTGGAGCAATAATTCAGTGAGACAATAAAACCCAACAAATTACTGCACAGGAGAGAAAAACTGCACTGCTGACTCTCAACTCACAGGACAAAATAATGTTTGCTGCTTGACACCTTGGTCCCCATTAAACCCATGTGCAAAACGGGCAGCAATCCATTTGAAGAATTATTGTATGTATTACTAACCATGTCAATATTTACATTACATTAACTTGTTCACAACTGATCATTTAAAATTCATTCTTATGATTCAATATATGATTAATGGTTATATTTCCCTTCTCCCAGTTCAATTTTCCTTGATGAACTATCTGGCTTTTGAAGAAAACTCTCATTTTTTAAGACCAATGCCAAATTTTTAAAATTCCCCAAACCAATTAATCATTTCCCTTCTTGCCAAGAAATGACTAGGAATACAAATACACAGATCTAATATATTTTTAAAAATCAGTCATTTATTAAAGTAGACTAAAAATGTATCTGACTTAGCAGGGCACATAGCAGTAAGCTGACCATTTATAAAGAAGGTGGCTCAAAATTTAAAAGCAACATTATATCCTTCAGAATTAACAGATGTCATGACCACGGTGGTTTTTTATAGATATTTTTCCCATGAACAAAAATCATGGTGTTATGGAGCAGACTGGCATAAAATTTAAGGAGGAATTGAATAGTGTAAAGAGAGGAAGCCCTAGTTACCCACCGGACAGGAAGAAATCACAGAGCTTCACATGCTCTTGGGAAGGACCGAGCTCTCCAGTGGCAAGATACAACCATCATACTATGTTACCACGGTGCATTTCCTGCACGAGGAATTACAAATGTCACATTTTATGTGCCTTAGATTTGATTACAGCATCACCATTCATACCAAAATACGTAAGGGTTCGCCTGTATACAATTTTTTTTTTCAAACTCTTCTAGGACTAGTTTGTAAAAGTTAATTCTGGGCTGAAATTTGCTTTGCAAACATATGAAAGAGCAAAATAAAACAAAAAAATTATGTTTGGCAGTTTCTAAGGTGAAATTTTAGTTTGTTCTTTGAACAGTCCTTAAAAAATGATTTAGCTGTTCTTTGCAGCCCTGAGTCCAGATTGTGGCTTAATCACTCATGCCATAAAATATAGTTTTATAAGAACAAATTAATATTTCTTTGTAGAAAGAAGTTATTGGTAGAGATCATTTACAAAATCCCCTAATTATGTAATTATATGATAGGCTGTAATAACTCTCAAGGATATTAAGCCAAGCAAAAAACCTATACAGTTAAGGACCTGATTAAAATTAGCAAATTGAAAGAAATATGTAAGTAATCTTCTCTTTCCATGATAAAGTTCATTTTCAGTGATGAGAAGTTGATTTAGACATTTTAATCTTCAACCGTCTAAGTTACGGTGAACATAAGTAAGGCCATTAATTAATGTTACCTTAAAACTATTTTTGTGCTTTTATATATGGTATGCTTTGGACAAAAATCCAAACTATGATTCATAAGATTCTCACTACTATATGCTCACAATATTTACTATGTAGTATAGTACCTGAAACATGGGTTCAAAATTTAGATGATATGCCACTGAAAGAGCAGAAACCCTTATTTTATTAAAATGTCACTCAAATGCAATGATTTTCTCATATCTTTTATTTCAAATTATAATAATTATAAAATAGGCAAAAGAAGTAAATTTCCATACAAGTTACAGGTGATTTTCTTGATTTACACATCTCATATGGAATCCACTAGAATGAAGTAAAGTGACTCAAACAAATATTGGCTACATTTCTTACATATTCTCCTGTAAAATAATTGCCGTTCTATAATTACCATCTGCTTCATTTCTGATCACTTGTAAATAATGGAAAACACTGATAGATTTTCCTTTCAAAATCAAGTGTGCCAGCTACTATAATATCATCTACAACTCACCTCAGCCACCTGCTGTGTCTCCATTATCTGCTGAGCCAGCACCTCCATATTGGTTGCCATGGTGAAGCAAGATCATTAGAGAACCTGTTTGAAAAGATGCCAGCAACTTCCATCAGGCACAGAAAATTAGACTTTTGTCACTGTTATTAAGTAAAATTAAATATGCGGTGAGACTTCATATGAGTTTACACCACTGTCAAATATATCTAACAAATAAAAAAGCAGTACACATTTTCACTGCAAAAATGGGAATACTGTTTTCAAGATACAGATCTTCTAAAATTATAAGCAAAAATATTTGTTTACTTTGTAAAACTTAACAAATCTTTGTAACTCCACCATTTAATAACTGGCAATTAAGAGAGCTCCATTTAAAAAGGGGACAGGGCACATTTTAACTTCCACTAATGGTTTGATTTGGAGAATTCACAGTTCTTAAAAAAAGTTTTCATTAATTCCTAGTTAGTGAGGCGATGAAAAAAATTATACTAAAATGAACAACTTATGTCATGCTCTGCTGGACAAGGATGTGGCTACTAGAGAAAGGTATTTGAACACATACTTATTGAACCCTTTTGCCAGACTACCATTATCACATTTTTTTTTGTCAAAATCCTGCATTGGTAGGGAAACGGCCTACAATATCTTACATATCTTCTTACTTTTTAACTTCTATGCTATATTTTATAAAGATACTAGGATATCATCATAACTATGAGAAGGAAACTCTGTAAAGGAATTACTTCCTAGGACTGGTGAATATAACTGCAAGTTAATTCTCTGCCACAAATAAAAACAAGATGCAGCTTTTTGAAAGACCAAAGTTCCTAAAGATGTGATCATCATGCACTTTTGCCTACCATCTCATGCGGATATTGGTGAAATGGCCTTTGTGATCCACCAGCACCTGCAACACCATTGAGAAGTACCCATTGCAGTTTATGTATTCTTTGGCAAGGTAGTCTGGTTCCAAGATAGGAATATGTATATCATCTATCGTCCCACCAGTTAGAGAACCCTATTGAGGCAAAGCCATTCACTATGTCCTGTATGTTTCCCAGAGTCACTATCCTTCCTACAGAAGGATATTAATTGCCTTGGCTACTTGAATCACAGCAACTCCCACTGTTCATCTACCAACTCCAGACTGATTCCCAACTGACCGGTAATTATCTGACATTACAGCTGTGTCTACACTGGCAAGGTTTTTCCGGAAAATCATTTGATTTTCTGGGAAAACTTGCCAGCTGTCTACACTGGCTGCTTGAATTTCCGGAAAAGCACTAACGATCTAATGTAAAATCATCAGTGCTTTTCCGGAAAAACTATGCTGCTCCCGTTTGGGCAAAAGTCTTTTTCCGAAAGACTTTTGCCCGAAAGGGCCAGTGTAGACAGCATGGTAGTGTTTTCTGCAAAAAAGCCCCGATCGCGAAAATGGCGATCGGGGCTTTTTTGCGGAAAAGCGCGTCTAGATTGGCCACGGACGCTTTTCCAGAAAAGCGTCCTGCCAATCTAGAAGTGCTTTTCCGAAAATGCTTTTAACGGAAAACTTTTCCGTTAAAAGCATTTTCGGAAAATCATGCCAGTGTAGACGTAGCCTACAAGTTTCCGCATGGCTATTGCCACTTTCTTCTTAATACAGAGTAGGTCTCATTCTGGTATTTCTGCACTTTAGAGAATGGGAAAACAATTGGCAAAGTTCAGTGAAAGTGGCCTTATGCATGCAAAAATATTTCAGCCACTGGTCATCATCCAATAGCTGCATAATTATGTGGACCCACTAGTCTGTGCTTGACTCACGGGACCAGAACCTGCATTCTACTGTGTCAACAGGATTGTGTGCCGCCAACATGTGCCTGTTGTTCCACTTGATGGTTTCATACACTTCTGTCTCTGTGGCCTCCTCTCATTCTTCCTCACTCCAGTGGCTCCTGGCTAGTCTCTGGACATACTGTAGAATAATTAATGAGGTATTTGCAATACTTGTCAAAGCAGTTTGAAGCTGAGCAGGGTACAAGCTTGCCATGCTATGGTGTCTGCATGGACAACCAGGGGTGAAAAAGGTGTGAAAAAACTGTTTACTGTTGCTTTCAAGCATGGGAGAGGGGGAAGGAGGAGAGGAGTGCATTATGGGATGCTGATGACATTTACCCAGTACCACTTGCTGTAATATTTTTGTCCCATCACCCTTGCAGGAGGAATAACGGTAGTTCGAATTAGGAGCTTTTTCGAACTACCTAGTCCGTGCCGCGTGTAGCCGCGGGCAGGTAGTTCGAACTATGGGGCATTTAAAAATGGCGGCACCCAGGAACATGCAAAAGAAGCCCGGGATATTTAAATCCCGGGCTTCATTTGCAAGTTCGAATGCCTGCATACCCCGAGAGGCTCTGGGTGACAGACCCATACTCTCCTATAGATAACCACCTAACCTCAGGTAGATTCTTACCAACAACCACAGGACATACCACATTAATACCAACCCTGTAACCTTCCCTTGCAACAAACCCCGTTGCCAACTTTGTTCACATATTTACTCCGGTGACACCATCACTGGACTTAACCATGTCAGTTATATGATCAAAGACACATATTCCTGTTCATCTAGAAATATAATTTATGCCATCATGTGCCAACAGTGTCCTTCTGCTATGTATATTGATTGGACAGACTTTCTCAGAAACTTCGTCAAAGAATTAATGCCCACAAATCAGACATCTTCACAAGGAAAAACCTGTCAGTTTGCATTACAGCATACCTGGACAGAGTTTTAACGACCTTACTACGTGCATCTTACTTCAAAAAGACTTTAACACCAGATTACAGAGAGAAACTTCAGAACTTTCATTCATGCTTAAATTTGACACTTTACGAATGGGCCTTAACAAAGATGCTAATTACCTTACACATCATAAAGACACCTTTCCCACTTATCACCCCCATTAGTCATTCATTGACTTATAAACAGCTATTCCCTCCCTCCCTCTCCCTCGCCCCACCTTCTGTTCTAAATCTGATTTGTCAGTTTAATAATGTGTTCACTTTTTTCCTTGTATTCCTTTGATACAGTAGACTTCCGATAATCCGGCACCCTTGGGACCCAGGTGGTGCCGGATTATCAGAAATGCCGGACTATCAGGAGGTACTCTGGCAGGGGCGGGTCTCGTCGAAGGAGAAGTGGAGGAGGGGGTGGGGGTGTGCCAAACCCTCCCTCCTGCTGCAGGGAGGCAGAGCCTGCGAGCGGAAGAGGAGAGGCGGGGGCAGGCAGGGCGGAAATGAACCTCAAGGTGTCAGTGGAATACGGTTGGTTGAATGGGATCTGAGTAACATAGTATCAATGGAAAAAAAATAAGACAGTGTGTGTACAAGTGCACATTTCTGAGTTATTTAAAAATAAATTGTTTTACAGAGATACACACAAGCAAATACACAGGTTTTAGGTGGAATATATCAGGTATCTGGTATAGTATTCTACACTGTGTTAAATTATGCCACAATATGTTGCTGCATTGTTGCATTATAAACTAAAAGGTCAACTGGTAGTTTATAAAACATTTCTACAGCATGCTATGCAAATATTTAGGCCATAGTACAATAACATAATGAAATATGTGCTTAACACATATGCTTAAGTCCCACCAGTTTTGTGATTTAAGCATATGCTTATATGTTTTCATGAATCAGGGCCCTGATGCAGAGCTGTATTTGGTTAGCACATAAGAGTTACTGATTCAGAATTAGAGAGATGTAAGCGACTAGTCAAGTATTTACTTCTTCTCTCTTGCTGCCGGTTTCCTAACTGCGTGTCAGCTGTGGATCCAGCCCGAGTGATTGTAACTGACCAGAACGTCCTGAATGCGGCTGCTTTGGCACACCTTCGCCCCCTCCTCCTCCCCCTCTCCCACCGACCCCTACCTTCCCCTGGCCCCCCCCCTCCCGGCAGTAGAGAGGAAAGTTACATTAACTGCGTGTTGGCTGTGGATCCAGCCGCAGTTAATCAATTACTCTAACAACTTGAAGCAGCTGCCGGAGCACTTCCGGGTTGCAGTTGGTGCCGGACCATCAGGTGTACCGGACCACTGGATGCCGGACCACCGGAGTTTTACTGTATATATGGTCATGCCAATTCTCTTTCAGAATATGATCTGAGGAAGTGGGTCTGGCCCACGAAAGCTCATCACCTATTAAACCATTGTGTTAGTCTTTGAAGTGCTACATAGTTTTTCTTTTTGTTTTAGCAATATCAGACTAACACAGCTACCTCTCTACTACTATTTAACAAATTGGAGGAATTGGAAATGGATATTTAAGGAAGGAGAGATATGTTCCAGTTTTCCAGTAATATTTATACTATGTTTTTACAGACAATTATTATGTACCTTAGTCAAGCATAAAATTGACTACTAGTAATAAAAGTCCCTGGCAGAACATGACAACTAAGAATGTGAAAATAAACATTTCTGATTTTTCATCTTCAGTCATATTGGAGAAGGTCATGACCTTAATTTTAGTAGACTCTTCCTGGTTATTAAAGCAATTCAATTCCTCAAACTAGATGCCAGACACTATGTGGAACAGTGGTGACAAGTCAATTACTATCCCAACAGAAGATAACACCTTTTTGTAACTGCATATCCATATTTACAGTATGAATTATAAAATTTTTTGCATCAGTTTATTATAGTATTATGAGTTTGAATCGTAAGTAATGTGATGAATTATATTCCAGTGTAGCTAGCTAATATGTCAGTGTGACAGACTGCTGGCTAAGCCAGAGCTCTGCTACCGTAGCCTGACTAAGGGAAAACAGCTGAGTAAGCCCAGGCCTGCAGGGCTATCAGAAGCAGCTGTGGGCCTCACAGAAGGAGAGCTATATAAGGCGGAGGAAGGAAGCCACAGGGGGAAGAAGGAGTGGCATAGTTTGTGCCCAGGTAGAGAGATGAGCTGGCTAACTTCTAGTACCTAGAAGGGAGTGGGAAGTTACAATAAAAGGCATGGGTGACTGCACCAGATGGCTTGTTGACTGATTTGTGGACTAGCCGATGGACCAGACCCAGGTGCCTGAGTGGGGACTCTGCCACATGTGG